ATGTTGATTTTATGTAAGCTGCCCTGAGCCTTCCTCAGCCGGGAGTGCAGAGTAGAAATTTGAGGAATAAAAATAAATAAAAAATGTATCCCGATGAGAATGTATCCTGATGAGAAAGCAGAAAGTCCGAGGTTTGGACTCAGACATAGCAACTTTATACATACACGTGTACATACAGTTAAATGGAAATTGGACATGCTTCCCTGTAAAAGGAAAAGTTTCCATTTTAAAAAATTTGTTCTGTTCATGTCAGAGGATATATTACTCGATTAGGACAACGTGAAGGAACATTCAGCAGTTCCTCATGCACAATATTGGGACAGGGCAAAGGACAGAGACTGCACGGCAACTCCTGGTAAAAGGAAAGCTTTGTTTGTTTGCGTATGAGTGACTGCAGCTGTTCGGTCCCACTTCCTGGCTGTTGTTTCTGTGTTTTATTGTAACGTGGATGCCCACCGCCTCAACTAACAGCCCAGAGGAACAGCTCTGTCTTACAGGCCCTGCGGAATTGCAATAGATCCTGCAGGGCCCTGATCTCAGTTGGTAGCTTGTTCCACCAGGCTGGGGGCAGGGCTGAAAATGAATTTTTAATTGTTCATTTTTTTGGTGCTGTTTGTTTTGTAAGCCACTTTGAGTCTTGCTTGGTAGGAGAAAAGGGGGACAAAAATATCCATATAAACAAACTTCAGGCCTGCTGTTTTTTGTCTGATAATTATAATGATGTTTGTGTAGAAAATGACAAGAAAACTACTACTCTGACAGTCCACAAAGGTCTCATTGGCCTTGGTATGATTGTTAATTACATGTTGCTGGACCATCTGGGACATCAGATTAGCACCAGAGTGGCTCCATTCATTTTTCACTGGCTGGACCCAGACAGAGAGGATAAGTTATTATCTACTTGCATATTTTGGTACTGGGTGAAGTTTGGTTTTCTGGCCAGATTCATTTAACATCTTTATGAAGTGGCTGGGACTGTTCTGTTTGAATTGATGTAGGGAAACAAACTCAAAGATTACAGGGGTAATTATACTGGATTCTCTATTCTAGATTCTCTATAGCAGAGGTGTTGAACTCATTTGTTATGAGGGCCAGATCTGACATGTATGTCACTTTTTTGGGCCGGGCCATGTGTGCTATAAAATGTAACATGAGGTACCAGAGATATCTCTCCTTATATATAATCCTGTTTTGGGGTTAACGTTCCACACGCTCCCACAGCCTTTGGCACCCTCAGCTGCCACTCGGAAGGTCTGCCAATCCCCTGGCTGCATTGCCTCCCTGCATTGTCTCAGTCCCGCCCACAGAGCTGGTGGCCAGCGTTTCAGCCTCAGTCTGGACGAAGCCGGCGAAGGGGATGGACACTCCCCCAGGTGGAGGCTTATATAAGGAGAGATTCTCTTAGTGTATTGGCTGTTTCCAGTTCTCCCATTGGCTGTGCAGTGTGGTTCCATCAGCCATTGGGCTGTCAGCCACCACTCAAGAGTACTTGCATGCCATTGGCCAGGTGCTGGGTCTTCCCCGCCCATTTTCACTTCAGCTCGTTCCCTGTCAGATTCACTGGCAGACAGCTCTCTCTACTGAGGAAGAAGACACTTCTCTTGGCTCCTGTGTGGGAATAACTTTCCCCTCAGTGGCTGTTGGTAGGCAACCAAGCTTGCTTCTGTCAGTAAAAAGACAAAGGACTTTCAGCATAACCCCCACCCCCGTCCACTTGGCCACTTTCCTGTCAGAATAAAATGAAAATGGCTCTCTCTCCTTTTTGGCTCCACCATGGCTGGCTGGCTAATGAGGTGGGCCAGTGACCATCAAACCATTCTCTTCAACCCCCTGCTTTTCAGCTGAATTTTCCCCAGTGTTGCCAGTCTCCAGGTGGGACCTGAAGATCCCCCGCTGTTACAATTGATCTCCAGATGACAGAGATCAGTTCCCCTGGAGAAAATGGCTGCTCTGGAGGGTAGACCCTATGGCATTATACCCTGCTGAGTCCTTCCATCCCCCCCCCAAATGCTGCCCTCCACAGGATCCACCCCCCAAATCTCCAGGTATTTCCCTAATCAGAGCTGGCAACTGTACTTTCTCCTCAGTGCCTGTTGCTAGGCAACCAAGCTTGGTTCGGTGAGTAAAAGGCCCTTTCCATGCCTATGTTGGCTTTTGGGAGAAAACTCATTGGGGCCAGTCCTGATCGGGTTGTCAACTCCAGGTGGGAAATTCTTGGAGATTTGAGGGATGGAGCCTGGAGGGTGTGGGGCTTGAGGAGGGGTGGGACCTCAGACAGGTACAATGCCATAGACTCCACCCTTCAAACCAGCCAGTTGCTTGGGGGGCTGGGTTTGAGCCCTGTGCGGCCCGCAGTATGCACATTTGACACCCCTGCTTTATAGGGGTCTGAAGGATTTTCTTTTGCCGAAAGTATTAGGTTCACATCCTGGAGGTTTTCTTGGATACAGGGTTGGATATATATGCTCATGTTGCGATTACTGCAATGCACTCTGTGTGGGCTGTTCCTGAATACTACAAAACTGCAGCTGATGCACATTGCAGAATCTCACTTCATTACTGGTCCAGATCATATCACACTGGCATTTTGCCAGCCGTGCAGGCTGCCTGGGTTTGTTTTTTTGGGGGGAGGGGGGAAGGTAGCATTCATTACTTTACAAGTCTCATACTTCCTCAGCTCACCTTATTTTATTAGCCTTCCTCCCCCAGTGCATGAAGATAGGAACAACATGCTTGATCTGCCAGTAGTGTATGCAATCAGTCTATTAATGCTTCAAGTAATGGCTTGCTTCTGGACCCATAAACGTATGTAGAGAAAGAAGTATCTATCTGTCTGTCTGTCTGTCTGTCTGTCTGTCATCTATCCAAATGTATATTAATTTGCTCGGTCTTTAGAATTCTGGAATAGAACCATAAAATCTGATCAAACAAGATTTTACTCTGGTACAAATAATGGAAAATAGGTCTATCTATGGTTATCACCTTGAATAGCTCATATAGAATCTCCATATTTAGAGGCATTCAGGATATATCTTGAATAACAATCATATATATTCAAGATATATCTCAAATAATAGTTGTAGGAAAAAATATATAATAGATGTCACAATCATACTATGTGAGGGAGCTTCTCAGAGTATTCTTGTCAATAGTGTTTGAAGCAGGACTAGATGGACTTAACCACTCAATTATTTTGTTCTTAACAGGCCTCAGTTCCTGCCAGAGCGCACCGGAGCATCGCTCCACCAGTCAGGAGCCCAGGGGGCGGGCACATAAGCCCCGCCCCCTGCTCCCACCAGCCATCAGTTGGGACACGGTGGGGGGGGGGCGAAACATTTCCCCGCCTCCCTGAGCCTTGGACTCGTAGGGGCAAATTCCACCTCTCGCGCGAGAGGTCATTCTGGCTCCCCCAGCTTTCCTTCAGGGCTCCTTAAAAAGTTATGGTCACCGCCGCTGTTCTCGGCGGCAGCTGCGACGCCCGCGGGGCCCCCCCGAAATGTTCTCCTGCCTCCCTGAGCCCCGGGGTGGTTGCCTTGGACTCGTAGGGGCAAATTCCACCTCTCGCGTGTGATCACACGCGAGAGGTCATTCTGGCTTCCCCAGCTCTCGGGAGGGGCTCTTTAAAAAGTTATGGCTGCCGCCGCTGTTCTCAGCAGCAGCTGTGATGCCCACGCAGGGGGGAGGGGAGGGGCGAAACATTCCCTTGCCTCCCTGAGCCCCGGGGTGGTCGCCTTGGACTTGTAGGGGCAAATTCCACCTCTTTCGTGTGATCACACGCGAGAGGTCATTCTGGCTCCCCCAGCTCTCAGGAGGGGTTCTTTAAAATGTTATGGCCACCGTCGCTGTTCTCAGCAGAAGCTGCGACAACCGCGCCGGGGGGGAGGGTCAGGACGAAATGTTCCCTTGCCTCCCTGAGCCCCGGGGTGGTGGCCTTGGACTCGTAGGGGCAAATTCCACCTTTCGCTTGTGATGCCTGAGTGGCGAGAGGTCATTCTGGCTCCCCCAGCTCTTGGGAGGGGCTCTTTAAAAAGTTATGGCCGCTGTAGCTGTTCTCGTTGGCAGCTGCGACGCCCACACGCAGGAGGCGCGAAACATTCTCCTGCCTCCCTGAGCCCTGGGGTAGTGGCCTTGGACTCGTAGGGGCAAATTCCACCTCTCCTGGAATTCGTAGGGGAACTTGTAGGGGAAAATTCCACCTCTGCACATGCGAGAGGTCATTCTGGCTCCCCCAGCTCTTAGGAGGGGCTCTTTAAAAAGTTATGGCCGCCTTGCTGTTCTTGGCAGCAGCTGCGACGCCTGCCCGCACACAGGGCCCCCTCAGGAGGCTTCCTCAGGAGGTGGTGGACTCTCTGGAGGTTTTCAAACAGAGGCTAGATGGCCATCTGACAACAATGCTGATTGTGTGAACTTAGGCAGATCATGAGAGGGAGGGCAAGAAGGGTTGCATCAGTGCTTAGTTCTTGTGGCCCTTTCTTATATTCTCAGGGAAATGCCAACCGCCACTTTGGGGTCAGGAAGCAATTTTCTCCAGGCCAGGGATCCTGGAGAGGTTTTTTTGCTACCTTCTGAGCATGAAGCAGGGGTCACTGGGGTGTGGGAGGAAGATATTTGTGAATTCCCTGCATTGTGCAGGGGGTTGGACTAGATGACCCTGGAGACCCCTTCCAATTGTATGAGTCTATGATTCTAAGAACAGATTGACTGAATGGAGAATGTTTGTCCAGCAAACAGGCTGATAAGTGATCCAAAAATGTCCACTGGTGTTCTCAGGAGACGTTTCCACATTGAATAGCTGAGGGCTGGTCCACAGGGGCTCCTGGTTATTATTATTTTTTGGAGGGACATGAATGCTTTGTGGCAAGGGAGGGCAGGTTTTCTCACAAGACTTAGTATGTGGGTCAAAGTACAATTCTTGGGTACCCACCTCTCTCTGACAGCTTTGGTCACCTTTTATGCCGTTACCAAATGTGCTAGTTGTGTGAAATAAAACAAATGAGATGTCAAATGTTATAAATTTATTTTTGGGACACAGATTTCAACCTCTTTGGAAGCTTATGAAAATTTCAAGCAGAAATCAATACAACTCCCAACAAAACAGTTTAAACTTCCAATAAAACAGTATTTTTAAATGTGTGTTTTATATATATTTATATTATATATATTTATATGTTTAACTTTCAATTAAGGGGACAATTTAGCAGGGTTAGCCTTTTTTAAAAGTCTGTTTTATAGTTCATTCCTCTGAAATAGCTCTTTTATTTCTGATCAAAAAGGATGCAAATGAGGTAAAAATTAAGGCAAAACCTAGAAGTCATGCAAATTAAATACATTTATATTCACTGACGGTACAAGCACATCTGGATCAGACTCATGAACTGAGGGGCTTCACCTCTGTCTGTCCAATATTACTATACAGCATAATGGTGACATGTTTTGCTAATGAACAGTTACACTACCATGGGGGTTTCAGTGTCACTAACATTACCCAGTTTAGGAGACATAACAGCTAGCATCAGTAAAACATGAACAATAAATAGTATTGATTCACTGCAGCATCGCACAGCTGCACAGGCATCAGAGGAAGAGGGCTTATGAAATGGCGTTGCACACATCACATCGTGGCTTAATATTTTTTTTATAATATATACTTTTAAAATTCTTTAGCAATTGACATTCTCATGCACACAAGTGTTTCAAACACAAGAAGCAAGTCCATTGATAGGTAGTCCAAGCAGTTTTTTTGTTTGTTTCATGTGAGTGTGTGTGGAGACAGCTGCAAACTGAATGGAACATTTAAACTTCTGTGCAGTCCATGAAAGCATTTTTTTTACACGAGCTCATTTCTGAATGTCACATTGCAGGAGTAATACAATGGAAGGGTCGCTCTTTGCAGCTTCTTTGAATTCGTCCAGCGTGATCTGGTCGTCTTTGTTCTTGTCCATCTTGCTGAAAATCTTGTCTACTCGTTGCTCTGGTGTGAGGCCATCTTCATTCATTTTCATCATTATCACAGTGCCCACCATTTTGTAAATGGCCTAGAAAGAAAGAGAGACGAATTCCATGAGCTCTGTCACTTGGGATTTTTTTAACTTCTATTGAGCACACAATCCTGCCAAAATATTAAGTGCTGTGTAGTCTTACTTGATTTCAATGGGAGGGGTATTTGCATGTTCTAAGGGAACATTTAAAATGCATTGTCCAAAGTGTCAGCTAAGGGATGAAGATATCACGTTTTCATAGCTGCCATCGTAAGCTGTTACAGAACTTCCATATGCTAGTGGTAATCTTGCAAGCACACTAGCTATAGTGTTTACTTCTTTCACAGAAGAGGATGTGTTTCAATTATTGGAGATATTCGTATCTGTTTGATGTAGAACCAGCATGCCTGCTATGGTGCGAGATGAGCTTTTATAATGTGAGGACAGTTTGATGTTGCAGGATGCACCTCTTTGAAAGACTAAGGGGATTTGGGCCGGGAGCAGGACGGTTCGGGAGCGGATCAAATGGCCACGATCACACCACAACATCTGGGAAGCGTAGTGCTTCCGTCCCCGAACTGGCCCATCCACGTGATAAACCGCATCAAGTTGGAACCACCTACTGAGGTGGTTCATCTCAAAGGTGTGCCGCAAACCGGGAGTCTGATCGCCGGCGCATCCCTGCGCCGGCGCGTCCCCGGCTCCTAGCCGAACTGCGCATGCTCCGACATGCGCAGTTCCGCTGGCTCGCCGTCAGATCTGTGTTTTCTCCCCGGCGTCTGATCGTGCCGGGGAGAAAAGGCGGCGCGGCCAGGGGATCCGTGGGATCCCGCTGCGCCGTTTCAACTTTGGCGCGGCTTTAAAAAGCCACGCTTTTTGGCGGCTTTTCCCCTGCTGTGTGGCAGGGGCCTATATTGGTTAAGAACATAAGAGAGCCCTTGCTGGCTCAGACCTATGGTGCATCCAGCTGAGCATCTTGCTCCACACAGTGGCTAAACAGTTGTCCTGAAGGGCCAATGAACTGGACACAAAGTCCAGGGCTGATGCTGCCTTCTAGCATTGGTATTCAGAGGTCTGCTGCCTCTGAATATGGAGGTTCCCTTTAGTTACCATGGCTAGTAACCACTGATGGACTCCTCCTCTACAGAATTGGTCCAATACTGGCATTGGAAATCTCTGAATAAAACTTGGGATGTGGTGCTTGGTCCTCAAATGCTGCTGGTGGTGGCAGAGGAAGGGCAGATTTGGATAAGCAGCATGGAATGGTTTTCTTGTAAGGTCTCTCGCCCCCATAGCCTTCTGCAATGTGCTTGCCTTTTTCCCCCCCTTTGCTTACCAGGACTTAAAGCAGTGGTGTTTTTTTTTGGGGGGGGGGGTGGTGTTGTAATTTTTGATTGGGGAAACTGATCAGAAGGTGTTACGCCACCTTCCCAGAACTAAAGACAAAATTGTCTCCTGTCAATACAGCCCCACCCAACTGGGTTACCAACCTCCAAGTGCATCCTGGAGTTCTCCCAGAATTGCAACCGATCTCCAGACTACAGCTCCCTGTTAGAAAGTGGCAGCTTTGGTGGGTAGATTCTATGGTACCACCATAGCCTGGGAGAAACTCAAGTCTCACCCCAGGCACTGCCCCCAAATCTTGAGGAATTTTCCAGAGGTGGAAATCCCACCATCCAGTGTTCTCTTCCTTGCTTACAATATAGCATGTCCGGATGTATGGGCCTGGCTCTAAAGAACACCCATCCAATAACAATCCAAGTTAATCCTCACCTCTATAATTTCCAGCATCTCTACTCTGGTGATTTTTCCATCTCCATCTAAGTCATACATATTGAAAGCCCAGTTCAGTTTCTGTTCAAAGCTGCCCCTTGAGGTGATCGACAGTGCACAAATAAACTCTCTGAAGTCAATGGTCCCGTCACCATTCTTATCGAAGGTTCTAAAGGCATGCTGGGCAAACTTTGAAGCATCTCCATATGGGAAAAACTGCAAAACAAAACACAAAGGGAACAATTAGATGGCAGTGCAAATCTTCCACATTTTCTATCCAAACATAAAATAACTCATACGATTGTTACTGGAATACTTGGCTTTTGAGAACTTCAGTCTGAGGGCTCCTTTGACCTCGGCATAACCCTGTTGATGTCAATGAAAACATTGCTAAATCTGGAGATTGTAGCCTTGGGTTGCCTTAGACGATGTGATTTTGGCCCAAATTCTGTAAAGTGCCTGACAAATTTATAATATTATAAATCAAACAGAATTAGCTTTTTCCAGCTGCTGTCAGCTTATGCCAGGAAGTATAAAGATCTGTTTGGCCTTCACCCTTTCTTTTTGTTTCTGGCCCTAGCTATAAATTCTAATAACCCTGAAATCATCCATTTAGGAAATGAAGACAAAGTATGCCCATTTGACCTTGACCTTCTGTAGCATTGGATTTCACGGTTGCCTACATACTAGCTACCCAATGGGGAAAAATAGGAAGCTAAATTTAATTCTTTCTGCATTTTCTGCCTGTCCAGTCTCATTTTGTCCATTATGTTACATTTTGACTATCTGGAACAAGCAAGATATTTAATAGGTATCTACTACCGAATACTTAAATTTACAGTGTTTCTGTTGTGTTTCCACTGAACAGTTAGAAAGTAAAAGGGAAGTGCTTCTTCTTAAAAGAATAATTTGTAGAAAAATATAGGTGAATAACTCTCTTGACAGGCTCTAGGTATGTCACAAAATTCTCTGAGAGGAACAACAATGGCAGTTTTTTTCCCTTGTCCCAAATTAGGATGTGGCTGCTCTAAGGTATGACAGTTTCTGGAAGTCTAAAACTAAGACTACATTTCTGAAATTGTTGTTTGTTTTCTGTTGCTGTTTTTGGAATCTTATTAGTCAAGGTCTGTAGCACTGTATGAAAGGTCACATAGAGAAACTTGGGAGGTGTCCTTGGGAGGTGACACATCCTTAACTAAATTTACCAAAGAAGATAATGATATTTTGAATCAAAACATTATAGTACAAGAGATCTCACAAGCAATAAAGATACTTAAAAAAGATAAAACACCAGGCATGGACAGTTTATCGGCAATGTACTATAAATTCCTGGAGGATGAACTATTATTGCCACTGCAAAAAATGATGGACCAAATAAGTGAAAAGAAAACCATACCACAAACCTGGCAAGAGACACATGTAACTTTGATTTACCAGAATCGTATAGACATATATCATTATTAAATGTGGATTATAAACTTTTTGCTGCAATAATGGCAGAGTGACTTAAGAAATGCATAACAAAAATAATTCACCCAGATCAAACAGGTTTTGTTCCAAAGAGATACATGAAAGATAATCTTCATTTTATAATTGATGCAAAATAAATTATAATTGGTGTAAAATAAAGAAGAAAAAGTGATCTTTATGTTTTTAGATGCTGAAAAAGCTTTTGACAATCGGTCCTGGACATTCATGATAAAAGTATTACAGCATATCAACAGTGGACCTAGATTTCTGAGCTGGATCCAAGGTATTTATATGAAACAAAAGACGAAAATTTTAATTAATGGCATGTTGACTGATGAATGTTTCCAGATAGAGAAGGGGACATGACAAGGATGCCCCTTGTCACCATTATTATTATTTAATCTTGCAATGGAAACTTTTGCTTCTAAAATCAGACAGGATCAAAACATTTAGGGGACTAAGAATTGACGGAGAAGAATTTAAAGAGTTACACAGATGATGTAGTATTGACAATTTTAAATCCACAAAACACAATACAGTCTGTTATGGATCATATACAAAAGTTTGGTTCCTTTTCTGGCTTTAAAATCAATAAGAAAAAAACTAAAATGATTTCCAAATTTTTATCAGAATAGGGAGGTAACATCAAAACAGTCACTGGCTGTGATTTGGTTACTAACTCAGTTAAATATTTTGGAATAAATGTGCCTGGGGGAAAAGAAATACTCTTTCAAGATAACTATGAAATAGTTTGGAAGAAAATGCAAGAAGACTTGAAGAGATGGTTTAACTTAAACTTGTCTTGGCTTGGGAAAATCTCTGCCAAAAAAATAATAATGAATTTCTCCCAAAAATCAACTTTCCATTCCAGATGTTACCGATCGAGATACACAACAAGATACTGAAAGACTGGCAAAGACAGATAAACACATTCATATGGAATGGCAAAAAATCAAGGGTCAGATTTAAAGTTTTACAACGTGGGGAAAAAAAAGGAGGTCTAGTGGCACTTAATATTAAGTTGTATAATCAAGCAGCCTTCCTGGTTTGGATTTCTGACTGGATTAACAATCTGAATAAAAGACTGATGAAACTGGAAGCAACAGATTTGTCTGATGGCTTACATAAACATCTTTATATCATGACAACTGGGAAAACTGGCCATGTTATTAGAGACAGCTTGCTGAAAAATTGGTGGTCACTTAATATAAGTCCCCCAATATCACCTTTAATGTCACGACTACATGCTTATCATGACAAACCTGAGAGGAAAAACAATGACTTTATTACATCTCAAGATATGATCAGCCTGGCTGATCCCTGGTGGCCAGCAGTGAAAGAACAAGGCGGCTGCTGTCGACGGAGGCTGAGTGACGTCATCCGGAGGCGCGCGGAGCCGAAAAAGGACATGGTCGGGCCGAGGACGACATCGCCGGCGTTCCCTACATACACACCCCGTCTGCCTGAGCACCGGACATCGTGCAGCCAGAAGAAGGCGAGCCGAGGAATGCTTTCACCAGGGTGTCGGTAGGGAATTCCCCCCCCCTTGTACCAATGTGTGGCCGTAGTTAGGGTCGATATAGGTGATTAGCACCCAAGAACTGTAAACCGCCCAGAGACCCCTACGGGGGTTAGGGCGGTATATCAAGCTGAAGGATAAATAAAAAATAAATAAAAATAAATAAATATGGGGAAATTAAATCTTGGCAAGTAATGAAGAAGGAAAAAAGATACAATGGTTAACATATCTTCAACTTTCAACAAGTCTTAAAGAAGATACACATCAAGAAGGAGATACGCTAAGAAATTTGACTCAATTTGAAAAGATAACATTGAATTGATTAAAAAGATAATTTTTTAGGACATATCTACAAACTCCTTTTACAATACGATACAGAAACAGAACAATGGGAAACGCTATGGATGAAAGATATAAAATTCAAAGCAAGTCAAACACTTAGAGAGAACTGGAATAAAATCTTTTATCGCTGGTACATTACCCAAAAAGACATTGAGAAGATAGATAAAAACTAAAAGGGATTGTGTTGGAAGTGTAAAGAGATAGATGGTACCTTTTACCATACGCAGTGGTCTTGCAAAGAAAACCCCAACAACTAGCAAATACTGGATGGAAGTCCATACTGAAATTCAAAAAATCTTGAATATTAAATTTGCTATATCACCAGAGACAATGCAATTAGGAATACTAGCACTGAATGCAGATAGAACAATGCATGAACTATTCAGATACAAGCTAACTGCAGCAAAAGTAGTATTTGCAGCTAAGTTGAAAACTGAGAGTTGCCCAGCTCTTGAGAACTGGATAGATAAGATGCAAGAATATGCAGTTATGGCAAAACTGACAAACTACATTAACCAAAGAGCAAAAGATGAATTCGAAACTTGGGAGTTGGCCCTAGGCAATACACTATTAACATTTACCTCATAGCAGCTGACTCCTAACCAGACTGAATTTTTCTGGAGAGCTATTCAAGATGTGTCTGTTATATTTGACAAGTGTGGGCTCGTGAGATTCCCTCCTCCCCCACTTTCTCACTGAGCCCAGCATGACTCAGGAGCTGCGCTGCTGCCAGTGGCAGGCCCAGCATGGCTCCCAGGTTGTGTGGCCACTGTTGCCAAGGCCAGCATGGCTCTTGAGTATGTGACTGCTACCACCAGGCCTAGCATGCCCCCTGGACTGCTTTGTCACCACCTCTGGGCCTGGTGCAACCCCTGTCCTCCCCTGCAGCCGCCTCTGGGCCCAGTGGTGGCCCGCAGGCTTCTTCACTGCCACCTCTGGGCCTAGCGTGGTCCCTGGGCTGCTTTGTTGCCACCTCCAGGCCCAGTGGGGCCCCCAGCCTGCACAGCCCCCAGGATGCTTTGCCATGCAGAAGGTAGGTAGTAGAGAGCATTCTCTGTACTTGCACAGATAACACTGTTTTACTTTTATGGAGATTTAAACCCCCCCTGTGTGTTCTTTTTTGGTAAATTTCAGATTTTTTTGCAAACTTGGGGGAAGGGGGTCCCCCAAGTTTGCAGAAAAATCTGTTTAGTGCAAGTGTGGCCCCAATCTGCGGATAGGGGGCACATTTGGGAAATAGATAAATAGTTCCTGTCTGCTCTTTACTTGTCTTTCTGTTCTTTTGCGCTTACAAATAAAGAAAAAAAAATCAAAATATTTGTGATTTTGGTTAAAATTAGCAGTTTAGTAAGCTTTAGTAACAACTGTTGCTACAAAAAATGTCTCTGGAATTCTGAACTATGTAAGAAGATGAATCTTTCCAATATATTTCCTGCTAATTCCATCTCTTTACCTTTCTGACATGCTCAGCGGGTTTCTGAAAAAATGACAACTGTAATTAGTGCCAATCTAATTAAGCCAGGGTAGAAGTTAATGTAAAATGCCAAATCTGCCTTGACTACCCCAGCAATTCTTGAATGCATGACAGAGCTTGGTATTAACTTACAATGGGGGGATGGGCAGAAATTTGGTGATATCAGGACTAATATTTTCTGTGCTGTTCTGATAGTACAGTTTCAGCACAAGTGAAACAATATATGGGATTTATTATGTTTCTATGGGATTAATTAATTCTGCATTGAAGAGTTGATGTGAACACACTGTAGAAGCAAAGTATATGGTCTGATTTTGCATGTGCAAGAGAATGAAGTGGGAATGAAGGGTCAGAGATCTGATAGAATGGACTGCACCACATCAAGCTATGGGTGGAGAATCGCAGGAAAGC